ATCACGCAGCATGCGGACATTTTTAAAATGAATATTTGAATGAGAGAAGTCTTTGCCCCCGAAGTACTTCGAGAGCAAATACATTTAACGGTACTTAAGCGTCAATTTAACTCTCGGGGTGTGGTCGTCAGTATCAATGATTAGAAAATAACCTCTAAAGGAATCCGCGACCCCAATTAAAATGTGGCAATAATCGTTCGACACGATGCAATTGCGTTCTCAAAAAGCTCGCGGCTTCAACGACGCGCCAATTTGCCGCCTTTTTCGCCCGCCATTGTTGCCTCCATTGTTTTCGTTTCGCGCCATAGCGGCGCGGAGCGAGTGCCTTTCACAGGCAATGAGCACGAGCAGTGGGGGCGGCCGAGTGTGAAGTTCAAGATTCAATTCCCATTGAGGACCGTTAAGAGAGAAGCGGATGGCTCGAATAATTTGGTCGCTTAGCGAACGCATTGAGGGATTTATTCTCACACAGGTTGACAGTTTATACGTACCTATAGATTCTTTTTTTAAATCTAAAATTTCTTAATATTTAAAGTAATTTTCGGAAAAGGTACATAAATCTCTACTAATATAAGCTTGTATATTAGTAGAGATTTATGAAGTCGAATCAGCGTTTATTCGCAGTTCGTCAACAGATTTAGCGCTTACCAAATAGTAAAGAAAACCAGTTCAAGAATTGTAATGTGATTAATTTAAGAAGGACGAAAATAACATAATATTCTAAGAAAGTTATTGACAACAACAGAACATAATTGACCCTCCTACTTTTTTGGAGTCTGTTGAATATCTTTAAAACGGTTACACATGACAACTCAATTCAGTATCTGGAAATTTATTCGTGTTCGATATAGCTACGTAAGGCATTAAAGTAACGTACGGTTACATTTCAAAAGGAAAGGAAAAGAAAGGAAACTCCCGGAGAGGTTGTGCGCACTGGAGCGTTTTACCGCAGCGTTTCGTGTTAAACGTAGGAATTCTGCAACCGGATTGTTGGGCCACCCTTTGCGAGCGTCCGCCATCTTGGATTCGGTTCGGTAATAAAAAGCGCGGAAAATCCGTTGAACTTTTAATTCTAAAAGGAAGTGGTCTCTTGGAAGTAATTTAGGGTAATATAGCGTAAGGATTTCTCGTATTTACTCGATTGCGCGATTTTTTATGAATAAGACGACGGAGTCTGCCGTTGTGATCGCGAAAAAACTACTAAACAGGTCAATTAATTCATGTAAGCTTTGTTTCTTATACGAATTATATCAGTCCGGGTAAGTACCACGACCTCACCATCGGAAGATCGGCGTTAAGTGGAAGTATAATAATTTCGCGTTTCGTTTGGTGAGTGATGTGGCCGGAGCCCAAGTTTCAATAGGTTGTCAACGCATCTGGAACCCTCGAGTAGCAGATGTACATGGGCGGCGGTATTCACTTAACATCTGGTGAACCGTTTGCTCGCTTAGCAACTTTTCACATAAGAAACCACACCCTCCGGCATAAGACACAGGCTTCCACTACCATTAGACACTTGTTAATCAGGGCGTAGGTGATCTACCAGTCTCCAACAGACCGGTGGCATTAAAAGAGAATTAGATAATAAAAAAACGCACTCCGCCCTTCCGTTGCGCTGTTCACATGGGCATATATCATAGCTGTCAACGTGTAGGTCGTGGGCCATCCAAGATTCGGCGCTAGGGCCGCCAGTGACGTCCATATTACCGCAGACGGATATCGACATCGATAAAATTACCGTTTCAGAGGGCTTTACTCAGGGATAAATTCGTATTCAGGCGGATATGAAAAGCGAAACATGAATAAAAGTAAAAATAATTATAAAACAATAAAATCTCTTTTTAAAAGCGAATAGTTTTTTTAAAACCTAAAAATATTGCTCTATGGTTTGATGTGATGAAACCGATAGTTTATTAGATCAAGAAAATAAATATTTATTTTCATTTATAATTATATTTTAACGAGTAAAACGTTTTTACTCAATGAAACTATCGTGTAAAACATTTTTATTAACAAAAAAACGAAACCGTATTTAAGCACATTACAGCGACTTATCGCTGGCATTTTCTATTTAATTTTGACGAGTTTCCTGATATATCTCTGGATTGAAATTAATATAGAACCACATGGGAACTAAAACCACTCCAAAGCAAAAAGAATTTCTACTTCATTAATTACGACGTTCTGATGCAACAAACATAAAAAAGATACAAACGAACTGAGAAACTCCTTTTTTGAATTCGGTTGAAAGTAAAATGTGTATGAGTAAATAGCGACGAGACGAGAAATAACAAAAGAGCCTTTCAAATGCAGACGAATTGAAATATGAATCGAGGACCGCGTAAGGAAATTGAGTCGAATCAAAGTTTAAGAAACTCGTTAAGAAAACTTTGATCGAAATGGCCTTCACAAAGCGGCGGGAACGGTGAGGATTGTGGTTTACGGAGATAACTGCGGCTCTTTACTTTCGGAGTACGAAACTTATAATTCAGTTGTAACATCTGAAATAACTGAACGTACTGGCCACTAACGCTCGAGAACAGAAATAAAACATAAAAACACACCCTCATATAATTCCCCAGCAATAAGAATAACCTCCCATTTCAATATAAATCCGATTTACGACCGACATTGCAGTACGCGTGTCGGCACAACAACGCGAGATAGAGCCGACAATGGCGGATGATTAATTTAATCGACAAAATACGCCCTGAGCCCCTCACTAGCCGAGCGGGCACGTAGCTCGTTTTCGGACGCATTGTACATCACTTAATCTCATTACTTGCCGTGCTCCGTATCCGGCGCGAGGGACCACATTCGAGAGCGACGGAGATTACCGCCGTGAGCTCGTAGACGCCGTATCCGGCAGGAAGGACCAAGCGAGGAGTCGCTAAAGAATCATCGCGATAGCGTTTACAACGTGGATCTTAGACGAAAATGTAACAGCATTTGTAGCTTACAAGATGTAATTCCAGTAACCAAATCTATCTGTAGTTAGAATATTGAACATGTTACGCCAGTTACTAGACTCAATAGAGTCAGTAACTCGTTCATGGGACGGTGTATACGCTTCTACAACAAAATCCCAATTAAGGGCCCATTTACACGATGCCATTTTCTTGTACATACAAGAGCAATAATTGAATGCAATAAGTTGCACGCAATAATTGACCATCAAGAATTGTAAGCAACAGTTTACACGCAGATATAGTAAAATAAAATTGAATGCGATTATTGAATGCAAGTCTTGACAAGAAATAATTGCAAATGTCTTTTGTTTACACCAATGCAATTATGTTTAGGCGATTATTGCTTACAAGTTTTGACTTGTCTAAACACATGCTTGTATGTGCGTGTACAATTTATTGGCGTATTGCACGTATTTGCGTTGACAAATTTTTCATGCAAGTGTTGAACGTTTTACAAAGGCCTGTTTTTTTAAAAAAAATGGCTCAAAGTGTTCAAGTTAGATTATGCCGATTAAATATATTTCATTGAGATTTATTTATTATGATCCATATATTATTAGTCATATTTTTATCCAAATTTTTTTACGACCTTTTCTCAATACTTCTATCCTCAAAAGAACAGCAACGATTAAATACCCTCACTCATTGCACTAATTTTTGCAAAGGAAGAGAGAATGCAATTGAATACAAGAATTGCTTACGAAATTATTGTGTGTGCTGTTTACACCAAGGAAAGTTTTGAAACAAAACATGAAGCAAGTCTTGTTCAACAGTCAAGAATGTTATGTGCTGTTTAGACAATGCAACTCATTTATTGCTTCTCTTAATTGTATATAACAGGCAAGAAACTTGCACCGTGTAAATGGAATGAGATGATCGCTCCTAAGCTGTTAATAAAAAAAAATATATGTACTGTATAGCAATGTAATTGTTTGAAAAAAAAAAAAAAAAAAAGGATACCTACGGAGTTTCTTTCGCCTGTTTCTTCTACGTTAGAGGAACCTCATTACGAAACGGTGGTAGATTTAAAAAATGACTATCGATAAATGAAATGTACATTTCATATTTCGATGGATTAATGATTTGATTTGATTGAAACTGGCCGTTAATGAACAGATTTTTCTCATCTCGGCCGAGAACTATTATAATATTGGATTAATCAAGAGAACGCGTCATCCATTTTCAACAGACTTAAAAAAACGGAGGAGAACCTCAATTCGACCGTATTATTTTTTTTACATGTTTGTTACCTCAGAATTTTCTACTGCGTGAACAGATTTTGGTGATTCTTTTTTTATTTGAAAGCTGGCGATGACACATCTTTCCTGTTTGTTAAGTAATTTCTGTGCGATGTTTTAGATTAACCTAGTTTTACGTGAACTCTTTACTCTTTCTATTGACAGTTACGATAATGCTAAAATGTATTTAAAATATTTTTATACAGTAGTACAGTTACTTTTTACATTATGGTGTCAAATGGAGATTTTTTTATACACAGAATGACTCTTTATGAAGTTAAGAAGTAGAAAGGGTTGTTGAAATATATTATCTAGCGAGTTTTCTCACTGTAGTACAATGTTGCCACACATAAAGCCTTGTTTCAGTGTTATCAGGATTAATAATTAGCGTATGAGTTACCTTGTACCATGAAAAGCCCTTGAAATGGGGTACGGGGTCTACTGGACGTAGTTCAACTTGTGGATAGAAATTAAAATTTTTAATTTGAAAAAAAAAAATATATATAATTGGAAAATTTAAAATCGTGGCCTGCATTCGCCTTTTTGAAAAAGAGAAAAAACTGATTTGACAGTAAATTTTGGCGGGAAGAAATGCAATTATTTACAATTATTCACCGTCACAGGTTTACTTTTTAATTTTTACCCACATGAAAAGTAGCTTTACGATTATTGACAATCTGGAGACAGCTGGGTTATGTCAGCCTAAGGAAGGGTTGAAAGAGAAGAACCCGCTGCGGCTTTAGAAGCAGTATAGGGGTTGTACGGGGTTCAATTGCCAAGCTTTGGGGTAGTAATGAGACTCAAGCACCAGGTACCAACGACGGACGGCGATCGAATTACATAACCTCACTTTTGCTTTAATGACGTTTGATGTTTTGCACTTTTATCATTAAATACTAATGAAATTAATATAGGACAACGTGTTTAAAATAAAAATAAATTAGATTACTATTTTTAAAAGACGTTTATGTCATGTTAATGTTTTTTTTTAATTTTTATGAAACCTATACGTAAGAAATTTAAGATTTCAAACTTTTTTCCAATATTAATACATTAGTTATGATATATTTTTTTAAAATTTAGCACATCTGAAATCTGCGACAATTTTTTAATTTACTTTTGTAATTGTCAATATTACTGTCCAATAAATCAAATATTTCAATTATAACTATATAATTCTATTTTATACTGGCAATAACTTGTCTACAGTATGTACATATTTCCCCAATCTACGAGATCACTTTGTTTGAATTGGTTCAAGTGGAAGAAAATAATTATTGAAACGTTTTTTTTGTTGAATATTTTAACATTTTGTTAGTTAAGCGAAAATTATATAATTCAATCGCGTTTATACTGTGGATTGTTATTTTGTCGATTCCCAGTGCAAATTTTCTTTATTAATAACATTATAATAGCACCAATTGTGGAATTATCTTCCTTTTGTCCTCATTACTGGAGCATCGTATTAGTCAGCTTAGAGTTATCGACGGAAGACACTAAATACATACTTCTTAATTACCCAGACAGATATAGGTGGTATAGATACAAGGTCCTGGCTCCGAGTGCAGTGGACAGAGGGGAAAAGCACCAAAAAGACCAAGCCACAGTATTGGGGGGGGGGGGGGGTTCTGGCGGATACCACACCGTGTGCGGGGGCTGCCACCCTCGAGGGCTACTCACAAACGTTGCAGATGCCTCAGTCTCACAAAAACACCCTCCGCCAGGTGGCCGAGTTGGTTATTGTTCAGTTTCCTGGAAATCGAACACACACGTCAGGTGGGGGATGGCCCGCCGTGACGTCACGGCGCGTTGTGACGTCACCACTTGTGAATGTGACCCCCGGTCGCTCCAGGCGCTCAGCGTACAGTCTTTCGGGAGTATCCAACGAAGTCGGACCTTAAAATCAGCGTCAGAGTAATATAGACGAGTTGATTTTAAGGTCCCGAGTCGGTAGACGGTGAACGATGCATCCTACGGCAGAAGACACGATGGCATACTTGTTTCTCATGTAACAGTCGTTGGCTGGTATCGCCGTGCAGGATCTGTTTGTATCATAGAAATGCAGAGGCCTTCGGAACACAGTCTCAATGGGAGGAAAATTACTTAATACCAAATCGACTGCTTTAAAGCTGCATTTTATCTGTACATAACTTGCCTTATCTACGAAAAAATAATCTATAAAGACGGCCAAAAAAATCATGTATATTTTATGGGAGCTCTCACTAAAATATTCTTTTATTCTGTTTTTTAGTATTTGTTATAGTTAAAGCGGCAACAGAAATACATCATGTGTGAAAACTTCCACTGCCTAACTATCACGGCTCATGACATACAGCCTGGTGACAGACAGACAGACAGCGAGAGTCTTAGTTCTTTTGGTACGGAACCCTCAAAAATACCCCTTCATTCAGACAGTACCGTTCGAAGCCCCTGCATTTATGTAGCAGAATACAAGCACGTAATTATCACCACAGTGGTTTATCGACCTCTGACACTGGTGATGTGTGGAAGAAAGATAGTTTATAATTATTTTTCTATTGTTTTAGAGTGTAAGAGGTTACTCACAGCCGCTCCAGAGATATCAACGACAGGAAGGCGTCGCGCTCTATCGTGTGAATCTGGTTCTCGGCAAGTTGCCTGTGGGTAGAGGGTAAAGATTGTATTAACTCGGCCGAATTTTCAAAAGGTTGTCAACGCGTCTGCAACTCTCGGGTGTAGCAGATGTCCATGGGCCCGCCACCCATATACATTTGCTACACCCGAGGATTGTTGGAGAAAAGGACTACCACAACAAAATCTCTGCGGATTGCCAGACTTTACTTATCTTTTACTTAACTGTGGGCCATGCAACAGCTTCGGCTGTTGCACGAATGGGCAGGTTCGTCCGGGTAAGTACCACGACCTCACAGAAGACCGACGTAAAGTTGAAGTGTCATACTTTTTCGTTTCCTCTAGTGAGTGAGGTAGCCGACGGAGACAACCCTGCGGGTGTTGCAATTGTCCATGGGCGGCGGTTATCACTTAACATAAGTATTATAGTTTATGCCGGTCTTCTGTGAGGTCGTGGTACTTACCCGGACGAGCCTGCCCATTCGTGTAACAGCCGAGGCTGCTGCGTGGCCCTACCACCGTAAAATCAAAGCTCGCATTTAATTCAATTAAACTATTATTATTTAAAATAAATTTACTTACAGGATCTTCAGATCGTTCAGGTTCTGGAAGTCGCTCTGGAATATTATTGTTAGGTTGTTGCCTTGCAGGTCCCTGCAACAGAAAAGAACGTGGGGTTAGTTAGGTGACTATCTCGTCACCCGTCACATTTCTGACTTAAGCAAATGCTATGTTAGTTCTTCTTTCTCCTAACCTTATAAGACTATCTCGTCACCCGTCACGTTTGTGACTTAAGCAAATTTTATGTTAGTTCTTCTTTCTCCTAACCTTATACGACTATCTCGTCACCCGTCACGTTTGTGACTTAAGCAAATTTTATGTTAGTTCTTCTTTCTCCTAACCTTATAAGACTATCGTCACCCGTCACATTTGTGACTTAAGCAAATTTTATGTTAGTTCTTCTTTCTCCTAACCTTATACGACTATCTCGTCACCCGTCACGTTTGTGACTTAAGCAAATTTTATGTTAGTTCTTCTTTCTCCTAACCTTATAAGACTATCGTCACCCGTCACATTTGTGACTTCAGCAAATTTTATGTTAGTTCTTCTTTCTCCTAACCTTATACGACTATCTCGTCACCCGTCACGTTTGTGACTTAAGCAAATTTTATGTTAGTTCTTCTTTCTCCTAACCTTATAAGACTATCGTCACCCGTCACATTTGTGACTTAAGCAAATTTTATGTTAGTTCTTCTTTCTCCTAACCTTATACGACTATCTCGTCACCCGTCACGTTTGTGACTTAAGCAAATTTTATGTTAGTTTTTCTTTCTCCTAACCTTATAAGACTATCGTCACCCGTCACATTTGTGACTTAAGCAAATTTTATGTTAGTTCTTCTTTCTCCTAACCTTATACGACTATCTCGTCACCCGTCACGTTTGTGACTTAAGCAAATTTTATGTTAGTTCTTCTTTCTCCTAACCTTATAAGACTATCGTCACCCGTCACATTTGTGACTTAAGCAAATTTTATGTTAGTTCTTCTTTCTCCTAACCTTATACGACTATCTCGTCACCCGTCACGTTTGTGACTTAAGCAAATTTTATGTTAGTTCTTCTTTCTCCTAACCTTATAAGACTATCGTCACCCGTCACATTTGTGACTTAAGCAAATTTTATGTTAGTTCTTCTTTCTCCTAACCTTATAAGACTATCTCGTCACCCGTCACATTTGTGACTTAAGCAAATACTATGTTAGTTCTTCTTTCTCCTAACCTTATACGACTATCTCGTCACCCGTCACGTTTGTGACTTAAGCAAATTTTATGTTAGTTCTTCTTTCTCCTAACCTTATAAGACTATCTCGTCACCCGTCACGTTTGTGACTTAAGCAAATGCTATGTTAGTTCTTCTTTCTCCTAACCTTATAAGACTATCTCGTCACCCGTCACATTTGTGACTTAAGCAAATACTATGTTAGTTCTTCTTTCTCCTAACCTTATACGACTATCTCGTCACCCGTCACGTTTGTGACTTAAGCAAATTTTATGTTAGTTCTTCTTTCTCCTAACCTTATAAGACTATCTCGTCACCCGTCACGTTTGTGACTTAAGCAAATGCTATGTTAGTTCTTCTTTCTCCTAACCTTATAAGACTATCTCGTCACCCGTCACGTTTGTGACTTAAGCAAATTTTATGTTAGTTCTTCTTTCTCCTAACCTTATAAGACTATCGTCACCCGTCACATTTGTGACTTAAGCAAATTTTATGTTAGTTCTTCTTTCTCCTAACCTTATACGACTATCTCGTCACCCGTCACGTTTGTGACTTAAGCAAATTTTATGTTAGTTCTTCTTTCTCCTAACCTTATAAGACTATCGTCACCCGTCACATTTGTGACTTAAGCAAATTTTATGTTAGTTCTTCTTTCTCCTAACCTTATAAGACTATCGTCACCCGTCACATTTGTGACTTAAGCAAATTTTATGTTAGTTCTTCTTTCTCCTAACCTTATAAGACTATCGTCACCCGTCACATTTGTGACTTAAGCAAATTTTATGTTAGTTCTTCTTTCTCCTAACCTTATACGACTATCTCGTCACCCGTCACGTTTGTGACTTAAGCAAATTTTATGTTAGTTCTTCTTTCTCCTAACCTTATAAGACTATCGTCACCCGTCACATTTGTGACTTAAGCAAATTTTATGTTAGTTCTTCTTTCTCCTAACCTTATACGACTATCTCGTCACCCGTCACGTTTGTGACTTAAGCAAATTTTATGTTAGTTCTTCTTTCTCCTAACCTTATACGACTATCTCGTCACCCGTCACGTTTGTGACTTAAGCAAATTTTATGTTAGTTCTTCTTTCTCCTAACCTTATAAGACTATCTCGTCACCCGTCACGTTTGTGACTTAAGCAAATGCTATGTTAGTTTTTCTTTCTCCTAACCTTATAAGACTATCTTGACGGTCATAGAATTTAAATTTAAATTAAATAAGATTTCTTCTTTCTTATATGTCAAAAAGGAACCATGTATTAAAGTCCTATTGCGAACATGTAATAATAAAATTAATAATGTGTCAATAACGTAAGCATAGACCTGTAAAATAGCTACGAATATATGTTATATGTTAATGAAATAAATAGGAAAGTAAACAGAACGAGGCTAAAAACAAAACAAAAAGAGTTGCCTAAGGCCTTGATCCACACTTGGCGGGGAAAATTAGTATTAAAAAAAACAGATGAGTCTCACTTATTAATGATTATTTAAATTATAACACTCTCTGGAATTTAATTGATCACACCAGGCTCTTACAAGGGGACTATAATATATAATTAAAAATATTTTATTGTCAAATATATGTAAAAAAATTGTCACGCTGGTTCCTTTAGCTGGTTCTTTTCAATGGCTTATATTTTCCGAACTGGTAGTAGAAATTTGACAGTCAATAAGTAAGTGTAATGACAGTTACTAAAGAGTACCTGGAGGACCGAGTTTTGCTCGGTTTTTTTTTTTTGGTAAATCATGTATTTTGGAAATAAAAAAAAAATAAAAAATAAAGAAAATGATCTGGTATAGAAAAAGAAGTAAAAAAATAAGTGTGTAAATGATCGTGATACGAACCGCGGCCGTCTGTTTTGGGGCCTCGATTACCGACCGAGCTATTATAAAATTTTTTTGGCGGCGAAATTTTTTTCATATTCGAATGATATTTTTCATTCCCTGAAAACAGGGATAAAAGGATATTTTCTAAAAATTAAAATCTAGCTAGATCGATTTTTCGCCCCCGAATCTACGCACATACTAAATTTCATGAAAATCGCTGGAGCCGTTTCCGAGATTCCGATTATATATATATATTTTTGTATATATATACAAGAATTGCTCGTTCAAAGGATAAGATGTAATATATAAAATATATTAATGTCGACTATATAATATAATATAATAAAGATATTAAGATCGATAAATGAAATGTATATTTCTTATTTCGATGAATAAATGATTTAAATTTGAATTTGATGAACCTAATGGCGTAGTGGTTAGGGTACCTGCCTCCTGCGCCAGGGTGTTAGTTCAATCTCCACTTCTGGAAAAATATTGTGTGGTAACATAGTGTTTTTCTAGTGTCTGGGTGTTTATATATCTATAATATGTATTTATTTACAAAAGAGGAGTATGTTTAAGTATGTTTATCAGATATCTAGTACTCCTAGTGCAAGCGTTGCTTAGTTTGTGACTAGAGAGCGTTGTGGAAAAATGTGTCCTAAACAAAATTCGAAGTTTACTTGACCGGTTTTTGTTCTTGAGCCCTATTTTTGCGAGACCTCTTTCGTTTAGTGAGTTTCCTTACACTCTTCACGAGGGTTCTAAGATTCCAGCGAGTGCTTACCCGCTCGGTAACTTAGCCACTTAGCCCATTAGGGCCGCGGTGCTCACTTAAATGGCACTAAGTGCTGTTAAGTTGCACTCAAGAGCGGGTGGGAGGACTTATGGGGGCGCTTTCACGTGAACCAATTTTCCTTCGGTAGTACTCCTTAATAATGTTAACATTATCAAGGACGTAGAAATCGGTTTGTTTGTTTGTTTGTTTGGGGAAACTTTTAACTGTGTTAGGGTGATTAATTAACAGAATAGCCTCCCAGAATGTCAGCGTGTAGTGGAAGTATGCTTCGCGTATCGTCCGGTGAGAGAGGTAACATGGGCGTACTTTCTATACCTTTCAATTATGTTAGCAATTGTCCCTTCATTTATTATTATTGTGGAAATAGACATTTGCATTTTCAAGTCCCCTGGCTGCTGCAGATTTTATAATGAAATAATCTTGTAAACTAATTTAAGAATAATTATTTAATTAAAAATAATTATAAGATGTGCGCGAATCGAACCCACGACCCTCGGAGCCAATACCTTGGCCACTGCGCCACGGAGTCAAGATACTCCTTACACATATAACTACTCCAATATACTAGTATTTCCGATGTTAGCAGTAGCTATGGGAGAGAGTTACTTAATTAGAGTCACGGTACATTTTCAATTAATAAGTTAGCGAGGCGGGAGGCTTCACTTAAGCGACACTCAGGCACTAAGCTCGTCGGTAACTTGAGTTGGTTTTGCTAGTAAATTAGTTAGCTAAAAAGCCTGCACAGTAATAAATATCGATGTAGTTTGTAGCAGTATGTAGTACTCACAAGTATTTATTTATTATACACAATTATATCTATATTATGTTTATTTTTATTTATAAACCCCAACCAGACGAGAAAACAAATAATAATAATACATTTTATATTTATATTATTATTGCGAAATATATGTTGGGCATAAGGTGTACAGTACAGTAATTCATATCGCAATATTCCACCCATTTTGCAGGGTGGGAAAATATGATATGTTTGCTAAAAGGTTGTCAGTATACATGGTTAAATTCCTAAATTATTATCATAATATTAGAATCGAATAATAGAAATCGAAATAATGTCCATTAAATCATATTTCGACGTAGAAAGTAGATAAAAAACATTAACAAGAGAACAGAAACAAATTGACAAAATAATTAATGACAAAAGTAAAAATACAGTCAGAGATATACAGCCTGGTGACAGACGGATAGAAAAACAGACAGCGGGGTCTTAGTAATAGGGTCCCG